TGTTTTCAATAATACAATTATGACAGTTATTTAATTAAATAAAAGGTAGTGTACAGCCTAGTGCTGGTCTGCGAATGAAAAGGTCCAAGATTCTCGCCGTGATGCTGCTGTACATGTTTCAATCTTTCAACTAGAGGTATATTATAAAAATGAGAGTCAATCCCGCTCTTTGGTTCAAAGCGGGACAAAGAACTTGTGGTAGTTAGTTTTGTTGACTGGCTGCCTTCATTCTGGTTAATAGTTCAAAATTAGGGACGGTTTTATCTGGGGTCTCTGATCTGACCATTTAGCCCAAAATAAACATAAGGTGCCTTTCAGGTCGAAAATGCTAATGTAATAAATAAGATGATTTTAAAAGATGAATATGTTCAGAGGGAAAGCGCCAAATGTTATTGAAAAGTTTAAATAAAAGGGAAGGTGTAGATTCAGATAGAATAGAACACTACTTTATTAAATTAATGAAAATATATTTATTATGAAATATACAGATAATTGTCTTTATTTAAAAAATGATCATGAAACATAATATAATTTGATTTGGTTGTTGTGAAGCGCAAAGCTACATAGTCGGGTGTCTGTGCTCTGCCCACCATGAGTATCGAAACCCGAGTTTTAGCGTCGTAAGCCTGCAGACTTACCACTGAAGCGGCTGGGGAAACAACATAATACGAAATGAACTATCTCCCTGGTGTCAACATCTGAGCATGTATGCAAGTGTTCTGAAACGCCTTTAATGTACTGAATGAGTGAGGTTAAACTTTTTTTTAATTTTAATGTTTTTAATTTTCTCGAAAAACTCATAACAATCCCTAATACATAGGCGGAGAAGCGGGGGGGGGAGGCATAAACTCTCTAGGTCTATGCCTAATGGAGGCAGTTTAATACCTGTTAATAATTTTAAGGCTGTTATTTGCTCCATGCCCATGTTTTACCATATGTACTTTTTTAGGAACTGGTCTATTTGAAGTCTATAAATGCCACAGTGTCTGGGGATCATTACACTTGATTACTATATAATTGCCATGCTTAGGTCTCGTAAGCACTTTAACAACCCCCCACCGGTAACTTTTTATTTCCTTTGACTAGAGGGAAGGCAACTAACTAGTCAACATCACCCATTTCTTCCTTTTGAGCTACTCTTGTCTGATCGAGAGGTGAGATTTGACCATTACTTTTATAATGCACACCCACGGTCCCAAAGTACAGACACGTTTAACCACTAAGTCATGACACGATCCACTTGTTTTGAAAATTAGTCTCTTTTACAGACTTCATTTAATGTTACTTACGGAAAGGGACTATATAATACACTACCAATTATCAATAATTTCTGATCCCAAACAAGCTATCCAAATAGATCGGAAATAAAAATGAGACAAATAATTAATGTGACTTATGTAATGTATTGATTTAAGAAGGAGTATTCAGTTTCTAAAAACGAAAACTTATAATGCTTAAAATGCATTGATTCATCAGGTGGGAACCCTCGCTATCATCGACATTTTCGGCCGTAATCCCAATAATAGCTCACAAGGTTCAGTTATTGGCTCATGTGTGACCTCAGCCAGGCATATCTTAGTGACAAGCATGCCTATACCTCATATCACAAGTCTCTGACTAGCCGCTTTGTCCATATGTTGCATAAAGTGCCGATCGTGCTGTAAATACGAATACAAATATCATTTTCATACTGTAGTGTAGATCCTGATCCTTTAGTTTTTGGTTTTTTTTTTTGAAAAACGAAACAATATCTATTTACGTAGTTTCACTAGTCACACTGTACAAATTATTCACGCTCTGATGAACAAAATTTAACAGTTTGTTTGTTTCTAATTAAGCACAAAGCTACAAAATGAACTGTCTGTGCTCTGCCCACCACAGGTATCAAAATTCGGTTTCTAGCGTTGTAACTTCGCAGACATAATGCTGTGCCACTGGGAGGCAAATTTTGATAGATTATATCTGGATTGTTTATTGTAACTTATAAGTAAAAAAAAGTTTCATTTCTGAAGTTGAATGCTCTCACTTCCAGCTAACAGTAAACCATGGAATTATTTTTATTGGTTCCTCAATTGAACAGTCTTACTTCTTGGTAGCATACCCATTTATAACTTACCAAAACATATTTCACAAAAACATTTTCTTTCTTTTTTACAGTTGAGACCTATTTAAGTAAGAAATTCAAATAAAACATTTTTCCGCTATATTTTCATAATGTGTGCAATAGAGGATTAATATTCAAATAAAAATTGATTTATTTCATTTCAACTTTTCGTTTTGACCTCCTTTTAATTTACATGATTCTATGTAGGACATAACAAATAAACCAGTTAGGTAATTTTTCTTAATTTATATTTTTACTAATATCACATAATAGGAAATCGAAACAAAAAATAGTAGTAGGTAAACATAAGCTAACAAACTTCAAAGTTTATGTTTGTTTCCATTTGTATTGCTCTAACCAGTTACGTAATTTTATGAATTTGACCTAATAGTTGCTTGCAATCCAGAACGTTTTATTTTTTCTAAGGGGAGAAAGCGTAGAAAGTGAGCCAGTAATGTCAGTTCAATAATTTTGTACACTGGTTGTAAGAAATCCAAAATATTTCATTGTTTGTAAAGAGTAGAAAGTGAGCCACATATTCAGTGACTACAAGTTTGTTTGTTTGGTGTTAAACACAAAGCTACACAATGGGCTATCTGTGATTTGCTCACAACAGGTATCGAAGCCAGATATTAGTGGTATAAGTTCTAAGACTTGCAGCTGAGCTACCAGAGGGTGCCTACAAGCTTCGGCAAGTAATATGCGGATAATTCAATGTGAGTCTCAGGTAAACTTAAAATAAAAATACATCTGGTCAGTACTGTTTTTTAATTTATTGCAGTCTTCAAAAACAATAATATTAGTAGCAAAGGAAGTTGGTTATATGAATATTTGGGAACTTTCATGATAGGCTGTTTCCAAGTGCCAGAAATGATACTTGTTGATACAATTCATTAACAATGTGATGAAGTTTAAGAATGTAGCAATCTTGGCAAGAAGAACAAGACTATTTCCTTTCTTAACAAAAATGACTACCACTCAATAATCTGAATTAATTAAATTACACATCTAGACTGCAAATACTGTTAATGCATTGTTGCACCCCCCTCCCCTCACCTCTCTTCTCTCATCTCAATGTAACCTGAGCAGACCTCAATGGAATTTGGGACAGTCACTAAGTATCTCCTGGTGATAAAAGAAAAGAAGCCAGCCTGCCCCTTGTTAGAGGTAAAATAAAATACCCGCTGTTGATAGCATATTTTTGGTAATGTGTGCAAGGAAAATGTAAATAATGCATATATATATGAAAGTTTCCGTTTAAATTTAATGCGAGCACTGTGATTTAGGTAATTCATATAGCGCAGGTGTCATATTTAATTATTTTTAGAAGAGAGATTTTATGGTAAGTTTGGTTATGTAACTTTTTACGAATCACACATTGTGTAGTTCAATTGTTTTGAATTAGCGATTGTTTACAATAGTGAGATTATTGTGTCATATTGCTAGAACTTTCTGAGTTTCTCGTTGGTTTAATTGAGTATTATTGCATCAGAATATCTAGTATTGCGAGAAATGTTCTTGGCTTCCGTCGAGGTATAAATACGCGCCGAAAAATCATTATTTAGTTCTAGCTATAGACTGCGTGATCGTGAGTTTGGTGATAAAGTGTGTATAGTGGCGATTTTTAAAATTAAATTATCACAGACTGTATTGTAATAACAGAGTATAGAAGAATATTTTGTTTTGTCAATTGTGTTCTAAAGTAAGTGGACCAGCCTGTGTGTAATTTGACGAAAAAGATACAATTATTTAAAGCTCTGGATACAACTGTGGTAACTAACAGTATTAACGAACATTTGTACATGCGTTTGATTTGTTTTGATATATTATTTTTAAAACAAGCAAACTGTTTTGTTGTTTGGTTATAGTCGAAATGTATCACCGACAGGCTACAGACACCTACTATAAAGAATCCGGCTTTACAAAACCTGACAGTAAACATAAAGTTAGTTCTCCGTGTAAAATGACAATATATGCTATTTAATTTTTTTATATGTTCACAAGTCATAAGTGTTCTTATATATTGGCTTTGAAATCGTGAAATTTGTATAATTAGTTGCATGTTGCATAGGTACCTAATACATACAGCAAAGGGGGACTCTCCCCCACTTTTTCCAGTTGGTGTACATGCTCTAATACTAACAAATATCTTGGATTGACTTGGTATCACTCCCCCCCCCCCCCAAAAAAAAAGAAAAAGAAAAGGTAGCCATTCAGTCATGACCTATTGATCACTATAGTTTTGATCTTTCAAAATCACTGTAACACTTCAAACTAATAATGTTGTAACAAAAATATTGAATCAGCAAGCAGTCCGTACATAATATGGAAAGTAACAAGTAGTCTTAGTGGCCAGCAATCACAAGGAGTTAACTATGTCTCGGGAAAATATAGAAATGATTTATGACTTTATAAGCTTTTTTTCTTCGTAATATGTTCTACAAGACTTTGTTAATGTCATGGTTTTAAACCAAAGTAATATTATGATTATTTTAATTTACTTTCAACGTGAGAAATGAATGAAAGTCAAAAACAAAATAATCGTATTAATCCAAGTTGAGGTAACAAAAGCCGGAGCAAGCTATCTATTATTAATTATCATAAAGACATAATGGCCATAATATATGTTTTTTGCATTATCGCAGTATTTGAATACATATAAAAGTATTTTATTGTAGTTAATATGTTAAATTTTTTCGAAAAGGACATACTTATAAATGGGAAATAATGAAACTACATATGTTCCTATGATTTATAAGATGCACTTAAAACGCTCTTAAAATTTTTACATCGACCTGGATAGCGCCTCAGACATGCGCAGGTCTAATTCTAAGGTCACGCATGCGTATTTTCTGGCTGAGTGTGGAGTCTACCTTGCGGTGTTTATGTGATTTAGCCTACGTAGGAAGTTAGTAGCTTTACTGTCACAATATGAAGTGTAGTATCTTTAATTTTTAGGATAAGATGTTTTTGTTATTTTTTAGTTAACTTACTAAAAATACTCAACATGAGTTACCGTGGCCACATTCAACAGCCATTTTACAGCAGCTCATTAGCAATTCGGCAAGAAATACAGCGCTTCGAAAGTGTCCATCCAAGCATCTATGCCGTATACGATTTATTGGAACTCATCCCTGATCCCCTGTTAGCAACACGCATACGGGAACACGTCGTCTGCATAGAAGGTAGGCCTAAGGCTAAAATAGTATGATTTTATTAAAACTTCAAAGGCACCAGATTGTGTAAATTATATATTTCAGTCACAGCGTTTACATGTATTTTATTGTTTGATGTTATGTGTCTGTTTACTTTAACTTAAGTCTAAGAGTAAGATATGGCGACAATAAATCCTGTACTGTTGTATAAGTTGAAATTGAATAATTACTTAAATTAGTAATATATTAATAATCTTGGCCTATACGAATATAACTTAAGTGTAAGTTACACCACACTTACTGACTTGTCTAAACTCTCGGTACTTTGCATTTGCAACGTACAGTGGCATGTCATTGTCACTAGGCTTATAAATTATACTGTTGTTATACTTAACTTAGTTATAGGACTAATATTAGTACATTTGACAGTGATTAACTAGTACTACTAGTACTAGTGCTGCTGCAATGGTTATTTGAATTCGAAATACTTTGGTAGGCTAGGCTTATGAAATTATTCAACTTGGAGCGTATGTTGTCATTTGATTTATCAAATAAGTAGTACAAGTGGTTTATTAATATTATAATTTCTAGTCATTAACTATTTGTCTTAACACTGCATGTAGGATAATTAAAAATCAGAAGGACGACCCAAGGGTGAGGACAACATTATTATTTTCTATTCATAAAGCCTGATCAAAAGTAAATTTAAAAAATAGACCGAAGTAAGTTATAAATTATAGAAACTTCTCCTGTACAACAAATATAAGATTTTAAGAGGTTCTGGAGACATAGGTGATTTAGGTTATCCCTAAAAGCTAAATCCATATACTGAGCTAAAATACAAAATAAGCTTATTAATTTAAAAATTATTCCAAATTACCTTAAACATTATAACCATTAATATTCAATAAAATTAAGTTTAAAGAATTAGAGTAAGTTAATACTTAAAATCACCATTTGTTTTCTTCTGAGATATGTACAATTTACCAATATATAAAAATATACACTTATATTTATAAGTATTTATGAATTCTAATATTGAAAATCCAACAAGAAAAACTGACTAAAGTTGCAAAAAATTCTAAAATCAAAGGCACCTCAACCATCTATTCAGAGTATTATTGTTGACTTGAGACATTTTAGGAAATAAACATTTGGTGATCCCTTGTAGTTTCATCTGTTTATTATTATTATTTTTTTGAGGGTGTAACTTACCAGTAGATAATAAAAAACGAGGTTCTGGAGAATGGGTGAATTAAAAAAATGTTGAATTGTTCAATCCTAGGCTTATACAAATAGTTATACTTGTATAACTATCTGTATCACAGATATTCTGTTCTGCACGTATATCATTAAACAAACAGATACCAGTGTCATAGAGAAAATAGAGCTAAGTTACTATTTTTACTGTTTTTTTGCTAGTAAAATGACTAGTTCTTTAATTATAAACACATCATAATCTAGCAAAATCTATGTGTTAATTTCTTTTACCTTACCATTTGATTATGTGCATAATATGAATGGATGAATGTATAGTATCTTATTCTCACTGGGCATCTCTGATATTGATTAATGATGTTATAAAATCTGTAAGAAAAAGATTATGGTTAGTGGAACATTTCAACATTCTGATTAAATGGCATTGTAACGATGTGATTAAACGTCAGATCATTAGTAGCTGAAATATGTTATCATATATAAAAGTTATTTTGAATTCACCAAAGGAAATCTTTTTTTTTCTCCTGAGGATGCTACTTTTCTAAATGAAGGAAAGGTATAGAATTGGTGTGCTTAGATTCTGCAAAGGATTGGCTAAGAAAATCACATTGGTAGGAGTTTGGTAAAGAATAGTTAATTGGATTGTAGGGTGGTTGTATGAGGGAAAGAAAAAATTATAAATGGAGTCTTGTGAAACTGGACCACTGTTACTGGTAGAGTGTCTATTGTCAGTGTTTAGACCTTTGTTGTTGTTTTTTTTGTTATTTATATTAATGGTGTTGATAGGGTTGTAATTAATAAATTAGTAAAGCTTGGTCTTGAAATTAATTTCCTGGGTATTTCAAGCTGTATTTAGGATGTTGAGGTATTTAAGAATGACTTGGATCACTTGGTGAGTAGGACAAATATTTGTTAAATTACCTTTAATTACAATAAATGCGAGGTACTACGTTTAGGTTATCGTAACTTAGATTGCACATTTATTACAGATGGAAACCCACTCAATAGCATGACTGAAGAAAAGGATCTTGGAATAGTGGTAGATAAATCACACAATCCATCAAGAGTAGTGCTCTGTTACTAGTAGAATTTTAGGGTGCACTTATAGACATATTTGACGACAAAGTTAAAAGAGGTAATTATCTCTATACAGATCACTAGTTAGGCTTCACTTGGAACATTGTACAGATTAGTCTCCTTATCTAAGAAGGAATATTTGTTTACTGGAGAAAGTTCAGAGGGGGGGGGGCTACTAGGATGATTCTTTGGATGGAAGGATTATCTTACAGGAGTGTGTACAAACCTCTTAGTTTATTTTCTCTTGAAAAAAAAAAAAGAAAGCTAAGAGGTGATCTTATTGAAGTTTACAAGATTAGGTGGGAATTAATAGGTTGTTTGTGTTATATTTTGTAGATAATAGGAAAGAAGACACAAGTTTAAAATTTGGAAAAGACAGGCTAAGTTCCAGTTAAGACAACATTATTGTTATACCAGAGAGAATGACTTCTGGAAAAAGTTGGTATTGACAGTAGTGGAAGCCAGTGCTTTACAAGAGTTTAAAGGAAAATATATAATTTTCTTAAAAATAAAGGATGGGTTTAAAATTTTACTTTTCTCAAGGGTGGGGTGAAGAGATAACCTTGAAGGACCAAATAGTCATTTGTTGTCTCTCTTAAGAACTTAGCACAGTTCAAATAAATAATTGTTTATGTAGCCCCACTTTAGATCAAACATAAACAAAACATAAATGGTAATTGATCAGAATACAATGACAATTTCATAACTAAATCTTAGAAAAAAGAAAGTGATCACATGTTGGTTTGCAGCCTGTTCGAGATTTCTAATTTAAATTAGGAACATTGAAGTTGTTTGATATTATAAATAAATATATATTGGTATTGACAGTAGTGGAAGCCAGTGCTTTACAAGAGTTTAGAGGAAAATATATAATTTTAACGAGATTCCCACTGTCCCTATCTATTATCTAGCGAAACCACAGCCAAGGGAAAGGGCTTGGAAAAATCAGCATTGTTATATATATATATATATATATATACAGTAACACAAAACTTAAAGAACATGGTAGAAATATGAATATGAAGTTTTTAAATGAAAGTGTGTCATGTGGAATATTAAAAAGAATGTAGTTTATCTGTAATGAAATGCCTGCCAACATTGTAATTTTGGTACCTGGAACTGTGTTATTAATGGCTATATGACATACATGTAACGTCTATTTTAGATTTTAAATAAATGGTATATACATATTGTTTTTGGCTACAATGCAAAATATCTTACATTTATTTAATGAAATAAGGGAAAATTAAAAGTATGATGTAATTTATTTTAGATAAATATCTATCCAATTTTGTGGAAGAAACAAAATTGTATTCATCCAGTTTATTTTAACTGCTCTTGCAGTTTGAAGTTAAACAAGGCTGTAATATTTATTTGCACAGCAATACTTAATAAACTATGTTAAGGGCTTTCTAATCATATGTTTAAAAAGCACTGCTGACTGTCAAGTCTAAACCTAGGCTTAATACATTTAATTTTGTTTCCACATGTTCATGCTATGGTTCCCTTGTGAAGAAAAGAAAAATATATCCTTTAATAAATATGTTTTTTGTACCACTGTAAATTTTGAAAATGTTTTTTTAGATCTTCCTTTGACGTCTTGTTTTTTAATACTGTCAGCTTATGTTCATTAAGTATGTTTTCACACACAATAAATTTCTCAAACCTTTGATGTTGTAGCTGCTTGTTGAAAATTTAAAAAAAGAAACTAGTTCCCTTCTAATGAAGAGGATACTGACCTTCAGTAAAGCTGTTCAGATATGTTTTCACTGAAGAATTTTGCACCTGAACAATTAACTTCTGGTTTTCCAGAATATAGAATAACTAAAAAGAATGCAGTGTTAGGAGGTGATACATGTGTGTTTGGTCCACTGTGATAAATGCACAAATTCTGTATGAAATTTAGATAAGTGATTATATCTAATTTTACTGGTAGTGTAGGTTTTTAGTATTTTTTTTTTTTAAAACATGAATTATTTATATGAAAGATTCATAAATGTTAAATATCATGTAAATTTTTTATCACAAACATGAATGGATCTATTTTACAATACAAGTTTAAATTTTTAGTGGTTTATAATGGGCTCATTAAATGCATTGTTATCCTCTTGCAGTGGTCCAGTATTCTTTTCATGTTTTTATTTTTTATCTCTTCAAGTTTTCAAGTTAGAACCTGTTTACTCCTTTTTTTTAATAGTTTATAGAGCTCTAAAGAATGGTAGATTTTGACCTTGGAAGATTCGGAATATATTACTGAAGGCTGGAACTTTCAATAGTACTAACTTGCATAATTTACTATTTACTGATGAAGTAACCATAACTACTAGTTTATATTTGAATGAAAACCCCTTTTATATATACAGGTAATTCACATATATGAAATAAAACATACACGTACCTTAGTTTAAGAATACGTTGCGTAGAAGAGTAATCATGTTTTATATTTAAACAAATGCACGTTTGTGTACATATCTGATGTAACGTACGATATTCGGATAGTAAGCTTGCATTACACGAACATCCAGTTGTGGCCAATTAAAATAACTGCAGCTGGCTCAAGCAAAATAAATATTTATTAAACAATTCCAAACAGGTTAACCATCGTAGTATTTTTAACATAAAATTGTCGATTAATTAATCATTAAAATTATTAGTGTAAGCGTATATTTTATGCTCGTTAGTTATTTTTATCATAAAGCTTCTCTTAAGTCTTCAGTACATTTTATTGAAGCAAT